TGTGTGATCTTGCATCTTTGTCTCTGTAAGACACAAAATGGATGGATTGTTCCAGTTTAGTAGGAAGCGAAGATTCCGACGAAATTCAGGTCCATTGGCTCCCCTACAATTCCATAGCATTATCTTCATGAGCTGATCATTGTGATGAAGCCCTCTTGGGGTAGTGATAATTCCAGATGCATAAGAATGTGTGGTGGGTGATAAAGAGCCTGTGGAAGTATTGTGTCGTTAAGAGTGGGTATCATCAGGACAATGTATTTGTCTTCCAATGAGTAAGAGTCGAGGCGAACATTCAAGGATGTCTTCTCCAAGTTGTGTGGAATGAATATCAAGAATTTTCTTTCGATATTTTCTGGCATGGATATCGTTAGAGATTCGTTCAGTGTCAAGGATTCCATGAAAGTCTCCGGAGTATCTGCCTCGCTTGCTTGTGGTTGTTGTTGATACTCGTCCATCGGCGGCAATGCTGGCGGCGTTGGTGGATACATTTCCATCTGTTCCTGAGCAGGTTGTTGTGGACATAGATTCTCCTCTAACGCAGAGGCGAATCTAGTATATTATGGGTTCAACGAATCTAGTATATTATCTATGGGTTCAACTGAACCCATAACTTTCGACGAGGAATAAAAATTTATATTTAAAAATTTATTAAAATTGCAAAAATAGTAAATATGAACCCATAACTTTAAAAATATAATGGGTTCAATATTAAAAACCTTAAAATTAAACCCATAAGATTTAAATCCTGGATCTGCCTCTGCTCTAACGGTGGTTGCTGTTCTATATACCAAGGCAAGTAGTTGTGTTGTGGGGGTGTATGCCATATCTGATAGTGCTGATGGAGGCGTGTATTCCATTGGTGAATGTTGCGTAGTTGAGTTTAAAGCTCCAGTGTGGTAATCTCCTGCTGGTGCAGTATTTGCATGGTAGTTTCTTGTTGCATGGGCATGTAGATGCCCTGTTGAATGATGTTGGTGAGTGCTTCGGTGTTATCCATTAAGATCGTTGCATGTTGTTGAAGTAGTGGTAGGTCGTGCAGTGGCGGAGGCATAGTGAGTTGTGGTGGGTGGAGGAATCTGGGTGGTGCATGAGGGTAGTTGTAGGGTTATGGAAAGGTGTGTAGTTGATGACCCAGTGGTGGTGGAGTTGGTTGAGGTATTAGTTGTAGCAGAATTGGAGGTGGCAAGGTGTAGTGGTTGATGTGAACATTGTTGTGATAGTGCATTGGTGAATCCAAAATTTTAAAGCTATGGATGCTCACCGATAAAAATTTCAAAAGAAGAGGAAAAATAAATTTACTTGTGGGTGCTCACTCAATATTTATCTAAATATTTGTATTGTTGCCTATATAAACTAATTAATATGGTCAAAGTTAATGGGTGCTTAAGCACCCACAACTCTCTATGTGCATCCGCCAGTGTGATAGTGGCGTTGCCTTTGGTAAGGGCGTCGGTAGCGTGGGTGTTGGTAGTGATACATTTTCAATTAATGAGGAAGGTTGTAGTGGATCTTGAGTATCAATAAGTGTGAACGTGTTGAGGCTTGGGGTATTAATATTTGTAGGGGTGGCGGAAGTGTTTGGAGATGAAGGTTGTATCAGTGTATTAAGAATTTTCTTAGAGATTGTTTGTTCATTTTGCGGTGGTGTCAGTGTCATGATTGTTGAAGTGACCGGCGATTCCCGGTGTATCGAAATTCCAGCATTAGAGGTGGTAGGGTTATTAGGTTTATGATGGTGTATGTTTTATAGGTATAGGTTTGGTGAGTTAGCTATAGAAATAGTAGGTTGCATGGTTGTATGCATTGGAGTTGCACTGGAGGTGGCAAGTGGCAGTGGTGAGTTTAGGTGTTCATTGTATTGTGCATCTTGGGGTTGGAGGGGAGTAAGTTGTAATATAGAATCAATAGAAATTTTGATGGGGTGATCAATATGAATAGTGGTAGCAGTGTTTATGAATACTGTAGGAGGAAAATTCAATGTGAATGTTGTTTGTGTATAAAATTGGTTTTGAGAAGTGAATGATTTTTTTGGTTGAGGGACGAATTAGTGGGTGTATTGGTTGGTTATAAGATTTTATTTCAGTGGAATTGAAGATAAGTGTAGTTGTTGAATGGGATGGTGGTATTATTGCATTGGTAGATATATTGGAAATTGGAGCTATATTTGGCATGTGAGTATGATGAGCTTGGGAAGTAATTTCGGTTGTGTCTATGGCAGCCGAAGTGGGTGAAATAATTATGTGAGGTATGATATAGGGGTAGGGGTAGGGGTTATAATTGTCAGGGTTTTCCTCGGGACTTGTGTACTAAAATCTGTTGGTTAAAGGAATTGTAGTGGGAGTGGTATTGGTATTGTGGGTCCCATCTGTGATATGGTTCTTCTTTTTGTCTTTGTTGTTACATAAGTCTAATTTTGTAACAGGAGTGGCATTGTGATAATTTTGGGAAGTGGTTTTAAGTGAATTTTTGGAATATGTCACTGTTTTCCATTGTTCCGGTGGGTTTGAGTGTATGTTAATGGTATTTGAGCGGATGTTGAGGGTGTATTAGACAGTTGTTAGGATAGTGTGAGGAGTTGTGTCCTAAGCAACCACAAGTAATGCATATTGAAGAAGCATCTTCGTAGTAAATTTGCTGCATATGAGTTCCTACGAGCACACTTTTCGGTATATGTTGTCCTATTGGTGCTGGAATGCAGAGTCGTGCATATCGATCTCTAGTGGTGTGGACTGTACATGTGTCAATCTTTAGAAGAGTACCAATAAGATTAACTATTTTTTTAGGATTTCTAAGTCATCATACCCGGTAGGTAGTTCTCGTAGGCGAATCCAAATGATTGATAGATTAATATTAGCATTGGCAGGGTTGAATTTAGGTTCCCATTATATAATTGTAAGATATTGGTGATCTAATGAACCACGACCCTGGTGAAGGATTTTGTTGTAATTGTCTAAGTTGGAGATTTTTATTAAAGAGTAGTCAAAACCTAAGTCAATTAATAGCAGTGGTTCAAATAGCTGTCATAGTTGCTCTAATTTCGTTTTTAGATAATGGTAAGCTATTTTTTTCCTAGTAATTTAATAATAAGGGCTATTTGCCATGATCGATAGAGTCTAGTTTTATCTTTTGTTGGGTATTGGAATGAAGTGGTGGTAAATTTTTGATTGTCTAATTCATCTTCTAGACGAAGTTTATTCAAGAAGTTGGTTTCAAAGTCAGTAGGCATGGGGGAAGGCTGGGAAAGAGTTTATCTCGGAGACTTACATTATCAAATGAAGTCGGCATGTTGTTGTGTTGTGAGGTTTTGGGTTTGTGAGTACTCTGATGCAGTTGGTCGATTTCTTGTTCTGACAGTTGGTGTTCTTGCTCAGATTGCATGTTGGGGATTGGTTAGGGACAACGGCGTGCCCATCACTTGTTGATTGAGACTTCTCTCTAGTTTTCTTTGAAAAGGTTGAAATTGTACAATTTATGCTAAAGGGGAGCTGATTTGCACCTATAGATTTGTCAAAATAAGTCAAGGAATTACTGGTTTGCGAATTATTGCATAGTGAAGCAGGTTACCCGCACCTGAAGGGTCAGACCGCGGGTTTCCCTAAGTATTTTTCAGAAAAATGAAGTTAAGGAATTACAAATAGGGGTGTTCATAATTCGATTTAGGTCGATTTTCCTCTAAAAGAAACCAAACCAATTAAATCGGTTTTTCAAATATTAGAACCAAACCAATTCAGTTAACTCGATTTTTTATAGGTTCGGTTTTATGTAGGTTTTAGTTGGTTTTTCGTTTATTTCGGGGTTTTTTCTTAAATATGAGACATTTGCCAAGTACATAATCTGGCAACTATATTCTAACACAACACTCATCAATTATTCTTTAAGAAAAGTTACCATTTACTAAGATAGAGTAATAATATATATTGAATTAAATAGTGAAGAATAATTTAAGGACTCAATTAAAGACAAGTTATTTTTAACGTGAAATAGATTATCGGGCCTAGCAAAATCAAATTACCATCAAGCTAGAATATAAATGCAAAGAACTTGGTGATTATATGGGGTAAAATTGGTTTATAATAAATGGTCGAATGATAGCATGACACTTGAAACCGAAGGCAGACAAAAAGCGAGTCAAGTAACAATCAATACTGGATACAACAACTGCAATCGACATCGGATAAATCCCGAAGTGAGCATGGTCAACGGGAGCACATCGAGTATTTACCATCAGATAGTATTCAATGAGAGAATATTCTCCCTTGCATTCATTGCCATTACATATTTATATGACTCTTTTATCGTCATTTAAGTGGAGTTTGATCCTAGGATCTTGTTTCCCTAGGTATAGCTATAAATAGCAGGCTCAGCAGCTACTATAAGGGAGGAAAATTCTTGGAAAACACAAGATGTACTTTACTTTTGCTCTCAATTAAACAACGTTACTCATATTTTATCATTGCTTTTATTTTTTGTCCTCAGAGGCATTACGCTCGGAGCCAGACTTCTTTTCTTCTTCAATTTCAATTGCTAAATCTTATTCTTAGTCTTATTTCATTATCGTTTTTGGATTAAATCATTTCGCTTGTCTATAAACCACATAACAAATTTAACTGTTTGAATTTTTGATTTTTCAGGAAACCCCTAACTACAAACTTAAGATCAAAGAGTACATGTCTTAATGGTGGGCAACAAATAAACTTCATTCTAAGAACATATAGTCATGTATAAAATCGTCTATTGCTAATCTTAGCCAACTTTATACTCCTTAAACTTGTACTCATGATTTGAATAGATTCTTTCTTTCCTTTCTCTTGTTAAAACTACAGATACATTATTTACAAGTAAAAAACTTGTACAATACTTTGTAAAATTTGAACAGAAAATGCAAAGGAGAATAACCAAATGATGAGAAGTGGACATGTAAACTTCCATATTGAATTGAATCAGCTCCAAAGTTCGATTTTTCCTTTGTTCCATGACGGAGAGCAGCTTCCAGAAATACGATGTTGAAAATCCTCTTGCAACCATTGTACCAAAACTCATTTCCGCCCTCTTCTTACGCACCTATTTTCCAGTACTTGATTGGCAAGAATTTCCTCAAACTTGGCCAACAAGTTCACGCTCACTTGGCCGTTCGAGGGATTTATCCCAATGGATTAGTCGCAGCGAAAATGGTCGCTATGTATGCCAGCTCCGGTGAAATCGACTCCGCCTCACATATTTTCGATAATGCCACTGAACCCTCTTCGCTTCTGTATAATGCCATGATTCGAGCACTTACCCTTTATGGGATTACTGATAGAACAATACAGCTTTACTTCCAAATGCATTCTTTGGGTTTGCGTGGTGACAATTTTACTTATCCTTTTGTGTTCAAGTCATGTGCCGACTTGTGTGATATTTGGTTGGGGAAATGTGTTCATGGCTCAATATTGAGATGTGGGTTGGTGTTTGATATCTATGTAGGCACTTCTTTGATTGATATGTACGTTAAGTGTGGTGATTTGATTGAGGCTCGCAAACAGTTTGATGAAATGCCCGTGAGAGATGTGTCGTCTTGGAATGCATTAATTGCTGGGTATATGAAGGATGGGTTATTCAAATACGCTGAGGAGTTGTTTGAGAAAATGCCAACTCGGAATATAGTGTCGTGGACAGCAATGATTTCTGGATATGCTCAGAATGGTTTAGCTGATAAGTCGTTGCGATTGTTTGATAAGATGTTGGATCGTGACTCGGAGGTGAGGCCTAATTGGGTGACGATTATGAGTGTCTTACCTGCATGTGCGCACTCTGCTGAACTAGAACGTGGGAGGAAGATACATAGTTTTGCTAGAGAGACCGGATTGGAGAAGAATCCTTCGGTGCAAACAGCTCTTATAGCCATGTATGCGAAATGTGGCAGTCTGGTTGATGCTCGTTTGTGTTTCGATCAGATGAACCCGAAGGAGAAGAAGTTGGTTGCTTGGAATACAATGGTTACTGCTTACGCATCCCATGGTTGTGGGCAGGAAGCTGTTTCAACGTTTGAGGATATGATACGAGCTGGTGTACAGCCTGATGGGATTACATTTACAGGCTTGTTATCAGGTTGCAGCCACTCGGGTCTTGTGGATGTTGGACTAAGATATTTTGATTGTATGAGTTCCGTTTACTTTGTGGAGCCGGGACACGATCATTATGCTTGTGTGGTTGATCTACTTGGTCGTGCTGGACGATTGGTGGATGCATATAACCTCATTTCTCAAATGCCAATGGCAGCAGGACCAAGCATTTGGGGTTCGTTATTAGCTGCTGGTCGAAGCCATCGCAACTTAGAAATTGCAGAATTAGCAGCTAAAAAGTTATTTATCTTGGAACCAGACAACAGTGGGAATTATGTGGTGCTCTCAAATATGTATGCAGAAGCTGGGATGTGGGAGGAAGTGAACTACTTGAGGATCCAACTGAAATCACAACGTATTATGAAGAATCCTGGATGTAGTTGGATTGAATTTGAAGGAAAGGCCCATTTATTCCTTGGAGGAGATACATCTCATCCACAGGCAGAACAAATATACATGTTTTTAGAGGCACTGCCTGCCAAGATAAGAGCGGCTGGTTACATTCCAGATACTACTTTTGCTTTGCATGATGTGAGTGAAGAGGAGAAAGAGCAAAATCTGAGTAGTCACAGTGAGAGGCTGGCCATTGCCTTTGGCATTCTTAATACAAGCCCAGATACAGTTCTCCGAGTGACAAAGAATCTTAGAATCTGTGGAGACTGTCATACTGTTATAAAACTTATCTCGAAAATATATGAAAGAGAGATCATTGTAAGGGATGTGAATCGGTTTCATCATTTCAAAGATGGATCCTGTTCCTGCAGGGACTACTGGTGACCCGAAAAAGAAGATGTAATTTATTGATACCTCTTGTTTATCTGTTCCAGCGTCAAGATCAATTAACAAACTCTGTTCGGGAATTCCTGAAGTTGCTATGCATGACCATGTCCAAGACTACCAGCTGTAAGATCTACCTTGTTAACTGTCCAGGCTTGGGTGGAAATGATTAAATGGCCTCGGCATTGAATATCTGTTTGTACACAAGCTGTCTCCTCATTGAACTATCACCCGTTGCTGAATAACAAGCCTCAAGATGGTGGTTTGTTTTATGGAGATTTTTTATGTTAGAGGGTTTTCTCAATGAAGACTTGATAATAATCAACTTTTGGAGAAGCCATTTAAAATCTCACAATATGACTGTGGTGGGAGAAGATAGACTTTATCGTAGTATTTCGTATATTGCAGTATTGGTGAGACACCAATATTTTGGAACTTAGATTTCGAGAATGTTATTCACTGTTGCAGGAAGCTCCGTACTGCAATAAACCATTAGACCTGGTCTGGCCTTGCGGTACAGTAATGCTCTTGGTTACCTCAAAAAAGAGAGAAGTTGAATGTCCTCGAATCAATTTGTTAACCCACATATTGTACTATAAGTATTAAATTCAACAATTCGTCAAAGTGAAAAAGATCGTATGGACTGTTTATTAAGTTACCGGAAATATGAGAATGCAAGTCCACGGGAATTGAGTTATGTTTAAGATTTTGAAGGTTTTGACTATCATTGAGTATTACTTCTAACATATTCAGCTATTGTACATGAATGGTACTCTTCCTTGGATGCTTTTGTCGTACTATCATCTTCAACTGTCCCCAAAACTAGAATGTGCATTGTAGCTAGTGTCTTATTCCTACAAAAGTGATCCAAGTGTAATACAAGCGAAATACCAAAAGGTTCTGGACTTGAAACTGTTGTTTATCCCCTTTCAAAAATAGAAAACCATACCTGGTTGAACCGTAGAAAGCATGTGTTTAACACAAAATTCATAAATGGCTGTGTGGAAAATTCTTCCATTTATACATAGGCTTGGTAGGGCCATTGCCACTGAGAAAAAAGAAAAATGATAATGGGGTGAGAGAGGCTCGAACTCTCGACCTCAGGATAACACGGAAGCTATGAGACCTACGCGCTAGCCAACTGCGCCACCACCCCGTTGTTGTTACTATTACAAAATGAAATAATATAATGTTGTCCTTAGTTATCTACTTTTACAGTTTAGGGAGATCAATTCACAAAGAAAAATAAAACGCGTGCAAAGACAGAAAGCTGAGCATCGATCGTTGAATTTCTGATTGAAGCACTAAAGGTAGCAGTCAAATAAAGGTCTAAAAGTCTGAAAGTTCAAAAAAAATTGCTGTATTTTTTGACAAAAGAAACAAAGTAATTTTCCTTACTCCGATAAAAATTGCAATTTAGTAGAGTCGTGTTTTTGCTCTTAGGCTAATAATCACTTAGCGATTAGGTACGTATGTGCTAATGGTACTCAGACCAGAACGGTGGAAACTCTCCCAGATTCATCTGTTCTACCTATCCAGAGTAATAATTGCTGGACGTTAAAGAAGTTTACCAAGAAAGAATAATATGTCAGTGGTATAAATATATTATATTATGGATGTTCATTTAATACTCCGTTGTAAATAAGTTTCCTAAAGAAGTTTATCCATATGGGACTCCACCGTAAATATGTTTATCTATTTAAGTACTCTATTGGAAATAAGCTTCCTGAAAAAGCTTATCACTTCGATACCCGATTATGGATAAACATTATCCCCGATAGAAGATTATCCATATCGGGTATAATAAACTTATCCTTCCAGTACCCAGTTATGGATAAACATTACCCCGGTAGAAGATTATCCATACCGAATATAATAAGCTTATCCTTTCAGTACCCAGTTATGGA